GTGAAGCTTCGGTCCCTGATTTGATTCGTCAGAGATTTGGCCCGATTTGATGGCTGAATCTCTGAATCCGAATTGAATTAGGAGACCCTTTAACCTCTCTGAATCGAATTGGAACCCTCCAAATTGATTTGGAGAGATTCAGAAAGATTTGGAGATTCAGACATAGATACAGCTTTAAATGTTTTTTCTACATACCTCGAGGTACCAGGTGGCTCGTGAATGCTGTGATGCTGGGGCAGATGGAGTGTCCCACAGGAGCGCAGGGGGCTCCTCAGCATGCTCAGCAGCAGACCTTGAAGTGGGCCAGAAGCACTTCCAGTCCACTTCTGGGTTCACCGTTGAGCATGCGGGGCACCCCCCTGTGCTCCTGTGGGATGCTCCATCCACCCCAGCATTGCAGCATTCACAAGCTGTGCTTGGTACCTCGAGGTATGTAGAAAAAACATTTAAAGCTGTGTCTATGGCCAAATCGCTGATTCTCCGAATCAGCATCAAGTCTTCAGATTTGCGTTCAGCCAGATCAAATCAGGACAGTGATCTGAATCAACTAATTGAATCACCGTCCCCGATTTCGGGCCAAATCCAAATTGAATACAGCCTGTTTCACACACCCCTGCTATCCAGTATTGTGACTCGGTTGCAGCAACTGGGGTAGATGCCCCAGGCGATTACTTGAGGTGGAGGGAGGAGAAAAAAATGCTGTCACTGCAGCTACCCAATCACACTATCAGCACAGTAGTAACTGGAAAACACAGCTGCAAGCATGTATTGCAGCTGCTCCGAGCACCCAGCTGCACTGTTGTACTTCTGCTCCTGTTCAGTATTTTTCCATATAGTGACTGCATTGTGTTCAGTGCTGTTCAACCAATGACAAATTTTGTCCATGCTATCCTGTTTTTTCACTCAACTGTTGCAAAAGTCATTCTGTATGTAGGAGGAATTCTTCCTGGTCAATATATTTTGTAAAACTGTGTCTTGGGCTTGGGTTTCTAGTAGCACTTTCTCAAAGCCTTGTGAGAAACACCTTACAGGGCCAATCTAGTACATGGGGTTACAAAACAAGTTTCTTATCCAAACTGATTCATAGTGCATTAGATGTTGACATTCAAATTTTTCATTTCAAACCAAGTCATGAGTGCTGAAGAAATAACTTACACAAACAATGGTAATAAGCTGATGGAGAATAGGTTTAGGTTAGAGATCAGAAGGCAATATTTTACAGTTAGGGTGGCCAAAATCTGGAACCAACTTCCCAGGGAAGTGGTCCTCACCCTTACCTTGGGCAAATTCAAGAGGAGGTTGGATGATCACCTGTCTGGGGTCTTGTGAACCCAGCATTCATTCCTGCCTGTGGCAGGGGGTCAGGCTAGATGATCTGCTCAGGACCCTTCTGACCCTAGCTACTATGAAACTATGAATTCAGTTGCCCATTGTGAGTGTGGCTTTTTTTTCTCTTATAATGTGCATTACTCATCAGTATGCTCTTTCCTATGACTAGATCTTTTTCTTCTGTCATAATTGAATCAAATTCAATCATCAGTGGCAGGTCCTGTCAGACCAACCTGGTGGCATTTTATGATCAGATCACCAGATCATTAGATGCAGGGGTAGCAGTGGACATAGTCTTCCTGGACTTCCGGAAGGCTTTTGACACTGTCTCTCACCCCGTTCTCATTAAGAAAATGGGAGGCTGTGGCGTAGACACCCACACAGTCAAATGGGT